CAAACGCCCCCTCCAAGCGCGAATCGCGAGCGGCGGCCGCCGAAATGCACGCGGTGTTCTTGCTTGGGCTTTCTGGGTAGAGACAGTTCCGAGAAAGTTCATCACAGCTGTCAATGTCAGTGCCAGTTTCCACACGAACTACTTTCATTCAAGGTCATTTGTGCTCTTTGCCTCTCAAAGTTAACGCTACGAGTGATAAACAAGTTTTTAATAATTAAATAATATAACTATAAAATTATTATTAATTAAAATTAAATGATTCTTAATATAAATTATGTTGAGAAAAGGTTGACTTCTATTTTATTGTCAAATTTTCTTATTCTTAATGATGATGATTAATGTGTTGCGCAGTTGGATCGTTGGGGAAGGTATTCCCTTCCTAGTGAAAGAATAATTGAAAAGGAAATATTAATATGTGACTACATATGTGATTAATACTTTATATCAACAAGCGAATGTGTATCATAATGGCCTCCTGCAATGAATGTTTACAACAATTAATACAAATTTTAATTAAGTGCCTGCAATTTAATGTAAGATTCAAATTATCACTTATTAACTAATAAAAATATCTTCATGAGCAAGTGGTTTTGAGCGAAAGTGGACTAGCTTCAACCCTCGGGCTACGAGCGGCTGCTCCTTCCCTCGTACTGCGTTAGGGAACACGTTGATTTAAAGTGCGTAGCAGTGCTTTTCCAGATTCTTGCATTTCCACTAACACACTTCAAAAATACACAATAGAGTAAGAAAATGTGTTATCTGAAATTACTATATTTCATTTTTATTGTAGTATCTCAGTATTATTGCAGTAAAATATTCCTAAAAGTGGCATATTCGTAAAGGGAAACTTATTCTCAAAGTCATAAGTTATTGCCAAAAATACATTAATCTATGTTATTCGTAATTCTATTTGTTCTGAATCATACACAATATGTAATTCATTTTACAAAATAATAAGGGGATATGAATATCCTTTAATTTGGAAAATCTGAGTACAATTAACTCCTTTCCCAACATTTGTGATTTGCGATATATTGTACTTCCTCGGGTAGTACATTCAAATTATTACATACATATTACGTATTATTATGAAGAAAATTAAGTAATGCTGCAGTGAAAAATAGCATTTTTTTCAACAAAACAACTCTTATTGTAGATCCCTGATACGAAAAAAATACTTTTCGTTCTTATATGTAGTCTGTTACTTCCTCTAATGCGTTGTGTCATCAGAATCCATAATTTGCGGGTGATTGATACAGAAAAATTCATTAACTACAAAACGTCTGTACGTTTTGAAGAACGCAATCGGCGAAGCCGTAAGCAGGATTTTCACCAAAATTGATATTTCCCTGTCGATGGGCCTGATATCGATATCCATTGAATTTAAAAGCGATGTTCTAATTTTTGGGGGTACTTTACATGAAGCCTCAAGGACATTTTCTAATTAGTCAAGATTTTTTTTAATTAAACGTTGTCCTCATGTAGAGAAGAGGAC